GTTTTCATTGACCAAGAACGAAAGTCAGAGGTTCGAAGGCGATCAGATACCGCCGTAGTTCTGACCGTAAACTATGCCAGCCAGCGATCCGGTGCTGTTTGAGAAAGGACACGCCGGGCAGCTTCCGGGAAACCAGAGCTTCTTGGTTCCGGGGGAAGTATGGTTGCAAAACTGAAACTTAAAGGAATTGACGAAAGGGTACAACCAGGGATGGATTCTGCGGCTCAATTTGACTCAACACGGGAAAACTCACCCGGTCCGGACACGGCGAGGATTGACAGATTAATGGCTCTTTCTTGATTCCGTGGGTGGTGGTGCATGGCCGTTTTTAGTTCGTGGGCATGACCTGTCTGGTTAATTCCAATAACGAGCGAGACTCTTGCCTGCTAAATAGGCTGTTCCGTGATGTTTCACGGAGAGATAATCTTCTTAGAGTTAGACTCCTTGGTCCGTGTTTTAAGACGGGTCGGGTGGGGCACCGACCTACTGCGCCGCAACACCGTCGGCCTCCAAAGGGAAAAAATAAAGGCGGCGCCTGCGAGGAGGGCCACCGGCCACGCCCGGAGAGCGTGCGCACGGCTACCCGAGAACCCACCGGCACAGACAAGAGTACATAATTAGGAGGCGACGAGTCGGAAGCCACCGTCCGCTGCGGACCCGGGCGGAAGAGATCGGAACATTCAAAAAAGTTCGGAGTCCACATACGAGTATCCGCCCTCACGGCCCACTAAGACGAACGGGGTGCGGCGTCCTCTGGAAGGGGACGAGTGCACCCGGGCCGAACCGCCTCCTGGGCGCGAGGACGGCGCCCCCACGTGAGGGGCGCTCCTTCACTCGCTTCGGCGGAAGCAGACGACACCGGGCCTGAACGCCCCCGACACTGAACTTCGAGGGCCCACCCGTTTCCCTCTGAGCAGTTTCACGTTCTATTGAACTCTCTCTTCAAAGTTCTTTTCAATTTTCCCTCACGGTACTTGTTTGCTATCGGTCTCACGGTCGTATTTAGCCTTGGGTGGAGTTTACCACAAGTCTTAGGGCTGCACTCCCAAGCAACCCGACTCGCGGGCGAACCGAGAGGGAACCAAGGCGCGCGAGAACGGGCCTCACACCCTCTCAGGAAAATGCCCCGATCGTGGGGACCCCGCGCACTCTAGATCCACATTCCCGACTCGCCCAAACGCCACATTTCCCTGCTCGAGGCAAGGATTCGGCGCTGGGCTCCTCCCTGTTCACTCACCGCTACTAGGAGAAATTTGATTTTTTTATGGAAAAAAAGGGCAAGCCCACGGTGGGGTACCTAAAGGGTTTCGAGACCCCGCTCCTCGGAATTCGCACGCGGGTTCGATAGAGGACGGAGAGATGGACCGAAACACTGAATTTCATACGGATCCTTGCATAACTTTTCCTCAAAATGGAAAAGGAGTGTTCGAAAAAGTGAAAAAAAAAAAATAATAATTACTTCAAAATTGAAAGAAAAAAAAGGAACCTCTTTTTAATGGAAAAACTGCCCGGATTTACTTTGCAGACACCTCGGTAGATAATTATCTCGATTTAGGAAGAA